GGAGATGGAATCTCAGCACAGGTAAAAGAATCAGCCCAAAACGTATTTCTTTCACAGAATTAGGCAAAGTGATAGGGTCAGCTGGAGACAAGTTTGTAAATTATAGCAGTTGAGGAGTCTTAACCGCTGGTTGCAACTTCGTGAGGTCAAAGGCAAGGTTAGGAAGCTGGAAGAGGAATGAAAACCTGAAAGACAAGGAGGAGACGGGCAAGAGAGCTGTCCAAACACACACGAGGAGTGCCGAGCAGCACCAGGAGGCCACAGCGTGACAGTGTCAAGGGCAGGATGTGTCAACAACAAAGATGGGGATGGGAGTGCTCAGATCATCACAAAAAAAGTACAGCCCTGGTCTGTAAGGCCAGACTCCTGGAGGAAAGAGATCTTCTTTTATACACCACACTCTTAAAGAGAGACTGTCTAACAGGAACAAGTTCAAAGGAAGGTAATCACAACAAAGAAGGTGTGAGAAAACCCCAGAGGTGATCATCTGGGGCTGGACTGGCACCGAGTTGTTGTTACCCGGTCTGCCAAGACCATGGTGGTGCATACTGCCTACTGGGTAACAAAGCAGTATCTCATTATTCTCCCTTGAATACACAATCAGGCCTTACACCAGAGATAGGTAGAAGGATCGGGAGATAGAAAAAAAGGAGGAGGAAGGCATTTCTTCTTCTTCTTTTTTTTTTTTAAAGATTTTATTTATTTATTTGACAGAGAAAGACACAGCGAGAGAGGGAACACAAACGGGGAGTGGGAGAGGGAGAAGCAGACTCCCTGCCGAGCAGGGAGCCTGACGCGGGACTCGATCCCGGGACTCCAGGATCATGACCTGAGCCGAAGGCAGTCGCTTAACCAACTGAGCCACCCAGGCGCCCGAGGAAGGCATTTCTGAACTTCACTGCCCATGGGTAAAAGTGGAGAAAAGAGGCCATTTGGACTTCTAAATAAAATCTGAGGAGGCCAGGGATAACCAGTCAAGGACCACTAATCAACGAACTTTGTTATTACTTACGTCCACACATAGGACCCATCCCCACTACCCCCCATATCCCAATTCATCTTCCTCCTCTCCCCATGTGGTGTTATCCAGTTACCAGTCCAGCAAATCCCACTTCCTTTAGCCCTTAAACCCACGCATCCATCTCCGTCCGCACAGCCACTGCCTTGGTTCAGGCCTTCCTCCTCTGCCACCTGGACCAAAGCAACAGTGCCCTCACTGGTCTCCCTGCTGGCTCTGCCCTGTCCAGTGTAATCACCATGGAACTGCCTAGGTAATTTAAAATAGATGAGAGCATGTCACACCCCTTTTTAAACTTTCACTGCCTCAACTCTCCAACACCACACTTTCAAGAAAGTCCAAACTTCATAGCATGGCAATATTAGCTGCTACCGTTTATGATTTACCATCCTCCAACACCAAGTGGGTAACATACAGAATTCAATTCTCACAGCAACCCTGGGAGGTTGGCTTACACATGAGGAAACGGAAGTTTAGAAACGGAGTGACTTGCCCAAGGTCTCAAAACCAGTTCAATGGCAAAGCCAGCATAGGTACACAGGTAACTCAGATTCCGAAGTCTGTGTTCCTAATTATATATTATACAGTCTTTTGTTGCCCCCAAAGCCCTTTGTGATCTGCCTCCTGCTTACCTTTCCATAGTCCCATCTTAGCTGAGGTGAACTACCTGCAGGTCATGCAGTCACCTATAGGCCTCTGCTCGCGCCACTCCCAATGTGTGCATTATCGTCCCACCTCCCACTCCTCTTCTCCTGACTAATCTTGCTCATCCTTCAGGCCTTGAATAAAGCAATACCTCCTCACAGAAGCCTTCTCTGATGCCTCAGCCTGACGTATGATCACTCTAAGTCCTCCTCTGGCAAATGTCTACAACAGCTTCATACCATAGTGCTGTTGTCTATCTCCTTGATTTAAAAAATAATTAATTCCTTGAGGACAGGGATGTGTATCTTGAATGAGAGCCCTGTACTTAACTCCTTAAAGAATTTCGAAATCATGTCACCTGAGAGGCAGGGAGGAGCTGGCCAAAAAAAATGGAAGGGGAAGGGGAGATGTTTTAGGCAGCAGAAGCAGCAGGCGCAAAGGGCTACAAATGAGAAACAACCTGTAAACGGTTTGACAGGATGGAGAAACAATTAGGCAAGATGAGCTTTCACAAGACTGGCTTTTTCTTCATTCGCATGTTAGTTCCAAAGTCACTTAGAGAATTCATCTCTGACCAGCTAGATTTTACAATAGCTCCCTCCGCTTAGCCCCAGTTACTCTCCATTCCATTACTGTTCCTTTTTTCTGTGGCGTCTAACAGGATCTGAAACACCTACCACCCACTATAAGCGCTGTATCATGGACAATCACCACAACCGCCACCACCACGATCAAAAAGTAGGCTCCATGAACAGCACCTCTGCATCAGCAGTGCTTATGGTGATGCCTGGCACATAGCAAAATTCTCAGCTGTTGTGGAGTTTACTATGGGTAAATAAATTCAATGTGCTCAGCCTGGAGAAGAAATGGTGTGAAGCGGAAGGGAGAGCCCAAGGGCCTGAAGGAGGGACAATGAGCTGAGATTATGGGGTAGCTGCTTTCAGCTCAACATATGACTTAAGTCAAAGCTAGGGAAAGACCAAACAACAATAACCAGAAATAGCGAGTTTTCTGCCACTTAAGAAATTTAACCCATGGGCCGGGGTGTCATAAAAGAAATCCAAGTATTCAATTGGAAAGGGAACCTGGGTCCCAGGGGTCTGAAACGGGCAGTCACAGATATGCCTGGTTTGAGTTGCAAAGTTAAAAAACATTTTTTCTTAAATTGGTTTTGAAAAAATTGTAGTCGTCAGTGTTTAAAATCAAGAGATTACACGAGTGCAACACAAGAGTTTTGCTTTCATTTCTCCAACTTCATATATGTTAGTATTGTGCTCATAAAACTCAAGCAAAAACGTTTGACTATTTCTGACATGGAAATAAAATTTTTACACCTACATTTACCTTACCTGACTGAATAAGCATTAAAGTTTGTAACCCCTGGATCAAACTGAAGAATCGAGAATCTTAGCTCAGAAAAGCCCTGACAAAAAACTGACTTCATTTAACGCCCTCGCTTCACAAATGACGTTATTTATCACTCCCATTTTACAGATGAGGGAAGACAGGTTCAGAAAGAGGTGACATGCCCGGGTCACACAGCAAATCCGGGCAAAACCAGGATTAAGAGCCCTGGCGTCCTATGCCCGGTATTCCAACACCGAAGATTCAGAGGACTCCCGGACAGACGACAGGAGGGACTGACTTAGGACATTAGGAGCTTTCTAGTCAGGACCCCGGACTGAACCAGTCCCAGGGGACGTGGCTGGAGAAGGAGGGTGAAAGCCGGAGTCAGGGACTCCCTGGAGGAGAGAGGATCCTGAAATCCACCAAGGCTCTCGCCCTCACTGCCGAGCTCGACCCTTCCCGCCAGGCCTCCAAAACCCAACCCGGAGGACCCCGCTACTCCCTCACCAGCGCGGTTCACTTACCGCCGCTCAACTTCCGGCAACCACTGCGTAGTCCGCAGCGCGCGCCCCGATGACGCATATGGCCCCGCCCACCCGCCTGCCCAGGTCAGTGGTGCGCATGCGCACACGGAGGCGCGGGCCAACCTGGTATATGAGCCCCTAGCACCGGGCTGAGTGGGAGGAACTTGAGTTGCAAGGAAGGCGGAGCGTCAGGAGGTGGGCGAGGCCCCCTGGTGAGAGCCGAGCAAGCCAGTTTATCAGCTGTGGAAATGTGTTATATGCCTGTCGTGCTTTGAAAAAACTGCTCCACTTTCTCTCTTTCGATTTCAGAGCATGACAGGAATTATGATCATTTCCATTTTCCAGAAGAGGCAGCATTAAACGTATCCTAAGTGTCATTAAAGAGGCAGGTGTGGAGACAAATGAGAATTTTAATAGGTAAAAGTTCATGAAAGTCGTCAGTAATTAACCTGTTCCTTCTAGACCAGATATTATTCTCATAGCTCCCCGCTGTCAATGGGATAAAGTTACTCCTTCCAAGTCATTTATCGTGCATATACTATGTGCCAAGCATTGGTCAGATATTGAAGACACAATAGTGAGTATAAACTTAATGTGACATATAAGGCCATTCATTCATAAGGAATGAAAGTGACTCAGATGTAGCTCAATAGAGTCATAATAAAAAGAGTAATTACTACTATTATCTACTGTGTTTTCAGGGTTTCATATTTTCTAATCACCACAAAGGTCCTGAACATAGATGTCATATTATCCCCATTTTGCACATAAAGGAGCAGAGACCAGGAAAAGTTAAGTGGCTTGCTGAAGGTTACAGAGCTTTTGGGGTAAGATTCTAATGGAAGCATGTTTGACTCTGCCAAATAAGAAAACAAATCCAGACTTAGTGAGGAGATTACTTTATTTGAAAGGATTGTTGCAAGGGGGGAGAAAAAGGGAAGGGAAGGGACTATTGCAATAGAGGGACCACTCTGACTAAAAGATCTGGAAGTGTCTAAGGGTTAGGCAAAAAGAATTTTTCCTTAATAGGGAAGAGTGAAGAACGCTAGAAAGAACTGGGTGTGGGAAAGTGGGAGGAAAGGGTGGCTTGATTGGATAGTAGTAGGTCAGAAAATGTTTTACCTTGAGGTCAGTCTATTCTCTGCAGGGGCTGAATGGTGGCTCAGGCTGAGGGTAAGTAAAAAATAAGGGGCTTGGAGGGTATGGGAGAAGCTTAACTAAAGTTGGTTAACAAAGCATTTTGTTTGGATTGATCAGTGAATACAGGTAGTTCAGCTAAACATTTAGAAGGCAAAGAAGAGCAATTCAGAAGGACTGTCTTGCCTTGTCACATGTAAACAAGAAAGGTATCCATGAGTCTTAACCTAAGTCATACAGGAATGGATATTTCTTTGCAGTAAACCCTTTCTGGAGCACAGAAGAGTGGAGGGAGGGTGTTGAAAAACCATCACTTTTTTCAGGAGTACAGGGATCAGGCAAAATTCAATATTGTAAACAGGCTCCTCTCCTGCCACTGCCCCCTCAGACTGCATGCTCGGGTCACACCAAACTAATTCTGATGTTTTAAGCACACTCTGCTCTTTTATACAAATCTCCACCCCTGCAATACCCTCACACTTCCTCTGCTCGTGTAACCCTCTCTCTGGCTTCAAAACCGAGTAGACGCACCAAAAAGAGTACCTAGGACTAAATATAACTAAGGAGGTAAAAGACCTATATTTTGAAAACTATAAGACAATGATGAAAGAAATTGAAGATGACACAAATGGAAAGATGTTTCATGGTCATGGATTGGAAGAATTAATACTGTTAAAATGTCCATACTTCCCAGAGCAATCTACAGATTCAATGCAATTTTAATCAAAATACCAATAACATTTTTCATAGAACTAGAACAAATATTCCTAAAATTTGTATGGAACCACAGAAGACCCCAAATAGCAAAAAAGATCTTGAAAAAGAAGAGCAAAGCTGGAAGTATCATAATCTCAGACTTCTAGATATACTACAAAACTGTAGTCATAAAAACAGTACGGGACTGGCACACACACAAAAAATACATAGATCAGTGGAAGAGGATCGAGAGCCCAGAAATAAGCTCATTCTTATACGGTCAATTAATCTATGACAAAGGAGGCAAGAATATACAATGGGGATAATACAGTCTCTTCAATAAATGGTGCTGGGAAAACTGGACAGCCACATGCAAAAGAATGAAATTGGAGCACTTTATTACACCAAGCACCAAAACAAACCCAAAATGGATTAAAAATGTAAATGTAGGACCTGAAACCATAAAACTCCTAAAAGAAAACATAGGCAGTAATCTCTTGGACATCGGCCTTAGTAATGTATGGAAATGTCTCCTCAGGCAAGAGAAACAAAAGCAAAAATAAACATTAGGACTACACCAAAATAAAAAGCTTTTTCCCAGCAAAGTAAACCACCAACAAAAGAAAAAGGCAACTTAGTGAATGGGAGAAGATATTTGCAAATCATGTATCTAATAAGGGCTTAATATCCAAAACATATAAAGAACTTACACAATTCAACACACTCAAACACACACACACACACACATAATCCAATTAAAAATGGGTAGAGTAGGGGTGCCTGGGTGGCTCAGTCATTAAGCGTCTGCCTTCGGCTCAGGTTATGATCCCAGGGTCCTGGGATCGAGCCCCGCATCGGGATCCCTGGTCAGCGGGAAGCCTGCTTCTCCCTCTCCCACTCCCCCTGCTTGTGTTCCCTCTCTCGCTGTGTCTCTCTCTGTCAAACAAATAAATAAAATCTTTAAAAAAAAATTTTTTTTTAATGGGTAGAGTGCCTGCATAGACATTTCTCCAAAGACATGTAGAAGGCCAACAGATGCATGAAAAGATGCTCAACATCAACTAATCATGAGGGAAATGCAAATCAAAACCACAGTGAGATATCCTCCCATACCAATCAGAACAGCTAGTATCAAAAAACAAAAAAACAAAAACAAGAAATAACAAGTGTTGGTGAAGGCGTGTAAAAAAGGGAACACTTGTGCACTGTTGGTGGGAATATAAATTGGTGCAACTACTGTGGAAAACAGTAGGGCGGTTCCTCAAAAAATTAAAAATAGAAATCCAGTAATTCCACTATTGGGTATTTACCCAAAGGAAACAAAAACACTAATTTGAAAAGATACATCCTACCCTATGTTTATTGCAGCATTATTTACAATAGCCAAGATATAAACAGCCCAAGTGTCCACCGATAGATGAAAGGATAAAGATACAATGGAAGATTACTCAGCTGTAAAAAAAAGAATGAAATCTTACTATTTGCAACAACATGGAAAGACCTAGGAAAGACCTATTATACTAAGTAAAATAAGTCAGAGAAAGACAAATACTATATTATTTCACTTATATATGGATTCTAAAAAAACAAACCAAATAAACAAACAAAACAGAAAGAGACTCATAAATACAGAGACAAACTGGTGGTTGCCAGAAGGGAGGGGGGTGGCGAGGTGGGCAAAATAGGTGAAAGGGATTAAGAGGTACAAAATTCCAGTTGTGAAATAAGTCATGGAGATGAAAAGTACAGCACAGGGAATATAGTCAATAATATTATAATCACATTGTATGGTAACTACACTTACCATGGTGAGCCTTGAGTAATGCATAGAACTGTCAAATCACTATATGGTACACCCAAAACTAATATAACACTGTATGTCAACTATACTTCAATAATGATGATGATGATAATGATAAACCCAGTTGAAACGTGGGTATCGTAGACAAAATTAAAAAAAAAGAATATCATATAATTCCATTTATGCAAAGTTCTAGAATCAGCGTAAGTAATTTGTAGTGATTAGAAGTCAGATCAGTGGTTGCCTGGGATGTAGAGGGGGCATGAGGAACTTTCTGGGTTGATGGAACTGTTCTATATCTTGATTGAGATGGGGATGACATGGGTGTATACATCTGTCAAAACTCATTGATCTCTACATTTTAAATGGGTGCATTTTACTGTATATATTGAATGTAACAAAATTGGTTTTTAAAATACCCAGTAGGATGACACCCATCCACCTCTAGGCTTCCCTCTATTAGGCATATATGAGCCTGGGTTGAAGTTAGTTCTTTATAAGTTTGTTACCTCTGCTGGACTTCAAGATCCTTATAATTAACATCTTTTTGGAGTTTCTGCCCAGCTCACAATGACTCCACTTCTCTGGGAACTGTTGGTCTTCCAGCCATGTTTGTACCACATGTGACATCTGGCCCCCACCCCCCTTCAGGGTTGATTGCAGCAGAGGTAGACACAGGATGATGCTTTCCTCTGAGCTTTTGAACTGATGTTCATGCCTTGGGGCACCAAGATAATGGCGCATCATGAAAGATGCAAGACCAGGACCCTTAAAAAGGCAGAGAATGTTCTCAGACACAGCAAGGCAATGGGGCCCATGACACTTATTCAAGACCATAGCAATTCAGATTAATCCACCTTCATCATTTGACTTGCAGCTCAGTTGAGGAGAGCACATGCTCCCCACAATGGTAACTATAAGCTGCACAGCCTCGGCTTTGAAAGCCCAAGAAACTGTGGAAGGACATATTGGCAAATTAGATCTTAACAGCATTACTTCTTTACAGAACTTAAAATGCATCCCAGCCAGAAGAGCCCCGGCATCCTTTTCATCCTGTGTTAGGACTTAAATCTACCTCTGGAAGGCCCATTTTCAAAAGAGACACCAGCAATTTTCTGCAAGCTAAGTAGCCAAATGGCCAATTCATCAAATGGCCAATCTGCAAACTAATGGATTTTCTGAATGAACACTTTATTAACATTACCAACTTCTAAGATCTATAGCAATTTCTATTAGATGGAACAGTTTCACAAGCTTTTAAAGATTTATGTGATGCAGTAGTTGACTGGTTTTCATGTGGTCTTCACAAATCATTTGAAGGAATTTCTATTTATCAAAAGCTAAGGATGGTTTATTCTTCTTTTGAATATATTTAACTTCTGAATACATTAATACAGAGTATGTTCTTGAATGTAGATTTTTCTTGAGTGTATTAATATTATGCCACTTGGTTTATGCTCTTTCTGTCCCCCACTTTCTACTTCTCCTTTTCTGTCTGCCTTCCCATTCCTCAGTTTCTCTCTGTGACTCAGTTTACCTAGTTGTAAAGACACAGAAATCTCCCTCATGAGATTGGTGTATAGGTTAAAGTAGATAATGGTGGCAAAGCATGGGGCCTGGCACATAGTATGCTCAGTATGTTTTAAAATTATATATGAGTCCCCACTGTGTACAAGACACTCTGCATACACCATAAACACTGTATTCAATAATGCATAGGCCTCGTTTTTTTTATGCTCTGACAGTTTATATTGACCATTTCTTGTTCTTGTCAGATTCAAATCCAGGTCTCTTCAACCCAAAGTCAGAGCTCATCAACACTTGTCTTCACTAGTTGTCTCAACCATTTATCAACATAAATAAGGGGCATTTGGGAAATGTTTTTTCACCTGGGAACAGACCAGCTGCAGCTTTTAAAACCAGTATAAAGGTCTCTTTTGCTCCCCCAGTTTTGAGCAAGAAGAGCTTTGAGGGGATGCCAAGCAGATAGTGAAGATTGTTATAAAAAGTAAGTTCTTTTCTAAAGACATTTACAAATGTGACCAGAAACCAAAGAGAAACCCTATATCAGATCTCATAATATTTGACAGTACATTTCAATACATCTTCTCAGTTGAAGAGACTCAGAAAGGTAGAATTAAATAAATCAAACTCAGTATAGTTTCAAATAGCATATTTTAGGTAGGTAAAAATCTGTCATTTTAACAGATCATGCAAACAGGAACACAAGAGACAAAATATCAGCTTTTACACGCACTACATTTTTCTACATATATGACAGTTTGGCATTAAGTTTTAAAATATAAATCACAACTGGATTGCGATATAAACCCAAGGAAAACTGGATGTTCCCATGCCTTTGCTAGTGAAAGGCATGGGAAACTACTGAAAAAGTGTGCCTATAAAAGAACATGATGACTTTTCTTCAACAAACACAGCAGAACTCACAGATAAAAATGCACACTGTGCCTTCAAAGTATCACCTTCTGCAGCCTCGGGCATATTCTATGTCAGCAATTCCTTCTCTCAACACATCCTTTTGAGAATTGCCACCACTTTCAGGAATAGTGTGTGTGTGTGTGTGTGTGTGTGTGTATGTGTTGTATACTTAACAGGACAAATTTTTGCCATTTGGAGGTAACATGTGACAATAAGCTGGAACCCCACCGGGTTTTCATTCCAACTATGTGATGTTGGGCACCTTATTTCACCTTGCCACACCTCAATTTGCTCCTCTAGTAACACCATCCTCCTGCTGTGGGGTGTCATAGAGCTTCAATGAGATAAGCATAACCCAGCCTTCAAGAAACGTGGCTTTCTTCTCTCCATTCACATTTTTTTGTTTTTATTTTGCAACCGTTAAAAAATACCCTTTTCCTCTTTCTTTTGAGGCCATCTTTTATCATTTTTTTGTTACTAGTCAAGAGGAATTGGGGGTTGAAAACAGTGAACGTACAAGCTTCATAATTTCCTACTAACTCTAAGATATGCGTGAATGAGAAATAATAAGGCAGAATTTCCAAGGTGGTTCAGACACTGGTTCTGAGAAAGCTGTAGAAGGGGCTCAGAGGAGAGGTGTTCTAAGAAGTGACCACAGTCACGATAGAATTGTTGTCATGCCTATCAAGGTGACCCCTGGAAGGGGACAGCATCTATCTGCATATGTAAGGTCTCTACACAGTCCTATAACTCCATTCCAGGAAGGCTTAAGAGTTCCGTCTAATTCACCAGTGAAACTCTCCCCACGTGTCCCTTCGGTTTCCAATTAATTCCAGTCTGCAAGCTTGAATTACAATGAGAGTCTGAGGCTCCCACACTTCCTGAGGAGCAGGAGAACTCATCCAGATCTGATTCTCTTGGAAATATCCTGCTCTCTGCTCAGAGTACACAATCTATCTGCTGACCACCGCCATCTGCTGTTCTGCCAATGGTACCTAAGAACTTTCCAAGTTACTAGTCCTTAAGACTTTTCTTTTTGACTCCAGAAAGCCCAGGTGCCTGGCAACTCACAGGGCTTCATCCTCCATTTTCTTCAGGAACATTGCTTTGTTTGCATCCTCTCGTTGCCTCCCTTAGGAGCGAATGTGCAGAATTTTCTTGAATGTCTTCTTGAAGTTTTCGTTGCACAAGGGGTAAATGAGGGGGTTCAGCGTGGAGTTGATATAGCCCAGCCAGATGGTGAACATGTGCACACGCTCATTGCAACAGTTCTTGCAGAAGGCAATGACCATGAAGAAGATGAAGTAAGGAATCCAGCAAAGGATGAAGGCCGCCATAATAAAACCCAGTTGTTTGGCGGCCTTCCGTTCTCGGTTCATGTGCAGCCCAGACACATACTGCCTTGAATGTGAGCGGAGCCTCTTCCAAGTGAACTTGATGTAATCAAGGCCTATGCTGGACCCACTTGTAGGTTTACCTTTCCCTGATGCTGACTCTGTGGGGGTGTCTGAGTCTGTCCGGGAGAAGGACTGGCTATCACCTAGGATCTGATCCTCTGACATCTCATTGGCCCCAGGCATGTTCAGGCTCTGTTCATCCATCCCAAGCGGGCTCTGGCTCTGGTTGAAAACTACGTAACTCCTGCCACTCCCCTCTGCCTCAGTTTGCACCTGCACAGTATTAAGTGGGAAGCACTGGAGTCTGTCCACTTCTTTGTCCTCCTCTTGGCCGAAGACACCTGGGGATTTCATCTCCCCTGGGTCTTGGGATGGTAGCTTCAAGACAGGCTCTCCGTGGGCATCTTCTGACTTCCTTTTCAGAACCTCCCAGGGAGACTCCTTCCCTGGTTTTTTGGCCCCTGCCTTGGGGTTCTCTGGCTTGAGCTTAATTTCAGAGAAGGGAGGGTGGGATCCATTGATGAGCTCTCGGTGCTGGCAGTGTTGCCGTACAGCCTTGTAGATCTTGGCGTAGAACCAGAGCATGAGCAAGGTCGGCAGATAGAAGTTGATGATGGCAGTCATGACCTTGAACCAGGTGACATCATAGAAGTCTGTCTCACACTTGTCTTCCCGGTGTTCCGAGGACTGTGACATAAAGTGATGCCATCCCAGAATAGGAATAATCCACAGGAAGGAGAGAAACCAGGCCCCCAAGATGGTGGCTGATGCTCGGGTCTTGGTACGATATTTCAAGTATCTGAGGGGCTGCTGGACAGAGCGGTATCGATCGATGCACAAGATGAAGACACTGAAAATGGATGCTGTGCTGGCGACGTAGTCCATGGAAAGCCAAAAGAGGCAGAGAGGCTGGCCCAGGGACCACTTGGACATGAGGAGGTAGAGGATGTTCATGGGCATGACGACAGCTCCCACGATCAAGTCTGCCACGGAGAGGCTGACAATGTACAGGTTCCCCACAGTGTGTAGCTTCCGCTCGCTCCGCACGGCATATAGGACCAGCAGGTTGAGTCCCACTGTGACCAAGGAGATGGCACTCAGGACCACCACCAAGGGCATGAGTTGGGGGTTGGCTATGGTGGTCTTGTTCCCCTCGCACATCTTGTCTTCGAAGGCGCCGGAAGAATTGGGAAGGGTCATTGGCACAAGAGCAGCCTCCAGCTGTGGCTCCCTCCCTGGGAAGAAAGACACAAGGATTAAGGTCAGCGCCTTGGAGATCAGTAGAGTCACTTGGTACCATCAAGTTGATGTAACTGGGGTTGTATGCTGTTCAGGGCAGTGGATACTGCTGGTTACCGACAGTCTATATCCCCTTCTTCCTTAGTCATTCATTTCTTCACCTATTCAATGACTAGTTAGTGAATTCCTGGCATTGTTCTGGGCACTGGGAATATAGCAGTGAACAAAACAAAAATCTCTGCCCTCGTGGAGTTTACATTCTAGTCAGAGAGTTGGGCAAAAGCAAGGCAAAGTTTGTATAAGTCCCATGTTGCATGTGTTCTGGGAAGGTGGACTGCATTATGACTGGTCTACACCGGATATGGCACTCTAGTTTGAAGAAAACTGAGAAGCCCTAACAGAGTGTAAATCTCTCTTAAAAATTTAGCAAAAACAAACTACTTTCATATTGAGACAAAGCCAGATAAATTCTTAAGAAGAAAACTAAATTTGTATGATATTCTTTTTCAGATAAAAAGCAAGACCCTACGGCATTTGATCCTTGTGGGAGGAACCCTTGAGTTACTTTGTTGGAAAAGCATCATGTGGATAGCATTGATTTTGCCCCAGCTCTGCCATTGGTATTCTGAGTGATCTCTCAGGCTGTGTTGCTCACATTTCTCACAAATGTGAAAAGTGGCGCAGGTGATCTCTAAAGGCTTTTCCAGGTATCCTGTTTAGAGTCCTGCTTTGGGTATTTTTTCATATTCTCCTCCAGCTCTGAACTGCCCATCAGAGCAACCCTCCAGCTTCTTCCAGTATGCCTCCTCTGAACAGCATCGCCTTCTCCTCTTATGACCCAGTCCTGCTCTCTGCTCCTGTCACTCTCCACTGTCTGCCTGAGAGCCTTCCCCACTCACCCCTGTCAGCCCCAGCCATCAGCTCTGTGAGGATAATAGCCCCCAAACCTACAGCTTCAGCCTGTCTCTTTCTCCACTTCCACATCCCAAACCAGCACTTCACAGCTTCACCTTCAGCCCTGACCAAGCTCACACCCCTTGGAATAGTCTGCAGCCATCCCAGGAAGGAGGAAAGAGGCTAGGGAAGTTCATCTCAGTTTTATTTTTGATTTTGGGTGGGAGAAAGCAGGAAGCATTTCCCCCAAACATTCCCACAGGCTGCTATTCTCAAGGTAGCTCCAACCACCCTCTGCTACAGATGTGTCTCGTTTCTCTTTTTTTCCTTGTTGCCTTGAGGACAGTTCTATTTTCTCATTTCTCTCTTTGCCTCATTGCACACAGAGGGGGATCGAGAATCTCTTTTCACTCTGCATATACTATTTGTCATTCAACAATGTGACAGAAAATTATTTTTTAATATAAAAATCATTGATTCTTTTCCTTTTTGACTAAAAAAGGAAAGTTGTGACGATTGAATTGAGATCACCGAACTAAAAATTACTGTCACATATTAAGTGTTTAGGGGTGAAATCTACTGAGGTCTACAGCTTACTTTGAAATGAATCAAAAAACAAGTTGGGTGGGTAGTTGGTTAGAAGAAGGGATAAAGGAACAGACATATAATAAAGCAGGAAGAGCAAAATGTTAATTTATAACCCAGGTGGTAGATATATGGGTGTTCACTGTACAATGCTTCCAACTTCTCTATTTTATCAATAATTTTCATAGGAAGATGTTGGGGGAAATTAACGTAGCATATATACATTTATCCTCCTCACCTACCACTGTAAGCTCGATTCCTTATCACGTGTTCTCCTCTGTAGCTTAGACGTGTTAGTTTGCATAAACATAAAAGCAAACGATCAATACATACTCCTTAAATGGATGAGTGAGTGAGTGAGAGGCAGGTGCCGCGAAGCATCTCAGTTCAGAACTTACTCATTCAACAGCTATTTACTGGTGAAAGGTTCCCTTCAGCTCAGTGAGCTGCTTCAGAAGCAAGAGGATCCACTTTTATCCTCTGAAGCCATGGAATTGGGAAGGATTCCTGGAAAGGCAACTGCAACCCCCACCTGCTGCCTCTCCTGAGGAATGCGGGGTGGGGCGGGGTGGGGGTGGTCGGGGTGTCAGGGAAAGAGGAGGAAGCCTGAGAGAACCCCGAAGAATGGGCCCCACAGGGCAGGCCCCCAAAAGGGTGGCAGGAGCAGCCGTGTCCACGGCGACCTCATATCCCGCTCGGGACTGGCTACGTAATTTGCAGGGCCCCGTGTAAAATTAAAAATTAAACAATTACTAAGAATTTCAAGATGGCAACAGCAGAACAGGAAACCGAGACAGGGGCCCTCCTGAGCACAGGGCCTGTGTGGCTGCCAGGGTCACAGGCCCCGTATGCTGTTCCTGCTCTCTGGTCTTCTTATCCAATCCCCGAACATGCCCCACCCGGTGAGATAATTCATGTAAGGCGCTCTTCCCTCCCTCGGGGATCTGCCTTTTGGAAAAGCAGATCGTTGAATGGTTCTCTCTCTATAAATGCCAAAGGGACGTCAGACTGAGTGTGGGAATTGTGTGGGGACAGGGATCCTCACTGCACCTCACGATACACAGGAGGCCATGCTCCCTTCAGGCTGCCCAGATCCCAGCAGGTTCTGAGATGCTCTCTCTGGGATCAAGGCCAAGCCTACAGAGATGGTGTGGGCGATGGGTGTGCTCTGAGAAGAGAGAATGGAAGCTAGATGAGGCACTTTGGACAGGGCAGTTGGAGAAGAAAAGCGGGCACCTGTAGATTTGTTATAGCACTGTGTCCCTAGAGGACAGGTGATGGAAGGAGAGGGTTCTCACCCCGGCTCTGCCACTTGGGCTGTGTGGAGCTTGGGTAAACAGCCATGCCTCGAATTTCCTTACCTGTAAAGTAGGGAAAACATCATTATCTCTCTCCCTGGGCTGTTGGGAGGGTCATTTGAGGCAGTGGGGTGGGAAAGCTCTGCTAATCCCCAGGTAATGAGGACCGGGTGACACACAGAAATGAATCCCTTTTCTCGAAGAGGCTAGAGTGTACAAGCAAGCCATCATTTTTGAATTAAGGCAATGGCTCCATTCCAAAACCATTAGCTGCAGCGGGACCTTTTCCAGAGTGATTACAAATAGTCTAATCCAATCAGGCCCAAGTGCCAGCAAGTAAATAAAGGTAGTCAACGTTTCTTCCATATCCTTGGGAATACTGACTGGAACAGCTACAACAGTAAGGAGCCAAGCCCTGGGCTTTTCAGATATCAGTTATTAAATGCCTACCACAAGCCCATAGGGAGGTCTTGTGATGATCCCCAAGGTAGAGATGAGGAAATGCTCAACTCAGGCTCAGAGAGGTGAAGCAACCAACTCAGGGTCACACAGCTAGGAAGAGACTGGTGAAGTCAAGATTCAAACCTGAGTCTATCTATTTCTCAACCTTTGTTCTACTGACATTTTGAACTGGATAATTCTTTGTTGTGAAGGACTGTCCTGTGCATTATTGGCTGTTTAGCAGCATCCCTGGTCTCTGCTTGCTAGGTGCCAGTAGCATCCTCCCCCTCTTCCCAGTTGTGACAACCAAAAATATCTCTAGACATTGCCAGATATCCACTGGGAGGTAAAATGATCCTTAGTTGAGAACTACAGGTCTAACTGAAGAATAAACACCTCAACTGCCTTGAGCTTTATGCTCAAGGTCAAAAAGGACTTTCTAAAAATAGATGTTATCTAACAATGCAATGAATTGCCTTGAAAGATAGTAAGTTCTCCATCATGGGAAGCATGCAAGAAGAACACTGGAGAAGGAGTGATGTGTGAGCTGGGCTTCGAAGGATGGATAGAGGCTCACCAGGAGGAAGGAAGAGGAATTTAAGGATGAAGAAAAGAAAGAATAAAAGTACAGATCTAAGTTCGAGGAATTGGGAGGGAATTGTTGGAATGATGAGTCAGGGAAGGCATTAGGGGACAAGGTGTAAGAAAGCTCTTTTACACCTCTGTGCTTCTGCTTGTGCTGTTTCCCCCTCATGGAGCACCATTTGCCTTGAAGCTCTTAGTTGCTCCCCTCTGTGTCCCCACAACACTTCTAACTTTCCCTTTGATATCACCCAGCTTATCATTCTTTCTTTAGCTGATTGTCCCTAACTAAACAGGGAGCACCTCCGGGGCATGGAAAGTGTCCACTATTTCTGTTTCCGACGGGAGGCACCCATGGCCATCAAGGAGACACCCCCTCCTTTATGGCAGGGCCCACCCCTTTTCATTCACTGCCATTCTCCCATGCTGGTGCTGGGCAGGTACATGAGGGATGCTCAACAGACGTTCATTGGATGGGCTCTGAAGAAGCGAGACACAAATGAAGAGCAACAGGACACACAGGAAGAAGGATCTAACTGCAGAAGGTGTAGGCTTATTTTTCAACAAAGATGTCTAAACCAGCAAAAACTGGAGGTAAGATTTATGCTACTGATGAATATTGATAACCTTCATTTAACTTTTTTTTTTTTCTGGAAACTTTATTGTTGGAAATTTCTCTCATGGTAATCCAAAACATGAATACAGATTTATGCACAAGGATGCTTATTGCGACATCATTTATGATAGGCGATAAAAGGAAAGAAATCTAACATCTGGGAACTAAATATATTATGGGATAGCTACAGAATAGAATATCATGCAGCCACTGATCATCACATTTATGGAGCACCATTAGTAATATGGAAAAATGCTTATGATGAAATTAAATTTACAACAGATATTGTTTATCCAGGATGATGTTAATTCTGTTACCAGGTTTAGCATAAGGATGAGTCTCTGTTATGTTATATTAACAGTGGTTTCCTCTGGGTGGTGGGTGATGTTTATTATCTTTGGCATTTCCCAAGATATGAACAATGAGAGCATCTCAGTTTTATAACAGGGAAAATAAGACCTAACTGCATTCATTTTTTTAAAGATTTTATTTATTTATTTGACAGAGAGAGACACAGTGAGAGAGGGAACACAAGCAGGGGGAGTGGGAGAGGGAGAAGCAGTCTTCCCGCTGAGAAGGA